GTGTGAATACGCTTAGTATCGTTCGATTTAAAGTTTGTATCTTTTGTATATAAATATATTGTAAGAAAAACCGACTCGTGGAATATTTGAGAAACTCAGTGCATTGCGTTATTGATTTTTATTCATATACTATAATATATACATATATATCTACATAATGATTACTTATCTACATATATACAATATACATTACATATATATGCATTACATGTGTATTGTGTAGATACATCGGGGATAAAGGTATAACAAATTTAAATCCGCTGAAAAAAACTAAAAGCACTGAAAAAAGGAAAAAAGAAAATTTTATTTATGACGAAAATTATAAGAACGCGGATAAAATAGGACAGGAATATCCTTACATTTTCTGCTGATAATATGTTTCATTTATATTATGCTGTGTTTGACAATATTACAGATAATCTAAAGTAGAAGCATATTGTTATTGTCCAGTAATGTGTGCACTAAGATCCACCCACTTCAGTCTTTATACAAGTATTTCTTTTATTCAAAAATAATATTGATACTGGGTGTCACAAAAAAATGGAAAATAAGTGTCACAAAAATCAATGGGAAGTAATCTCTGATATTTTTTATCTATTTACTAAAACACAAACATAATTTTTATAAAATAAAATTGATATTTTTAATTTATAATTATGGAAATTTGATTCTACCAAAAAAAAGTCCCAAATTGCTTTTTCTTCCATTTTATAAAAAAATTTTATTTAATCCATCACTAATATTTAATTGCTTAGGCGAGCTATCTTCTGTTTACATTCTACGTGAATGAATGTAGCAACGGTAAGGCTGGACAGGGAGTGTTTGCTATTCATCCTGATCTTAAACCCCTTTTCTGTGAGATGCTTCCGGAAAATCTACCTTACAATAGGAATAATAATATCCATATTAATAATAATAATAATATCCATAATAATAATGATAATAATATCCATAATAATAATGATGATAATATCCATAATAATAATGATGATAATATCCATAACATTGATGACAATTCCCATATCACCAATAAAATCCATAACATTGATGATAATTCTTATATCACCAATAAAATCCATAATATCTATAACAGTAATAATATCCATAACATTGTTTATATCCATCCCAACAATAATAATATAATGATGAGTTGTATAATTATAACATCCATAACAATTATAATAATATGCATGTTTTGTATCTGTCATTGAAACCACTTTGTAGGTTTGTAAAGTTTATGAAAATCATGATATTATATGAACTAGTTGTCCGAACCCGAGCCATATAGTAGAATATCTTCACTGTCTTGAGGAGAAGGAAACTAGGGAGACTAGACGAGGTTTAGCAACGGAGCAGAGAACAAATCATATTCAATCTTCAGTAGGTCAGTTCATCGTTGCTTTTTTATCTGCAGGGTTAGCCACAGTAGAGGAGACGTCAGAGACGACTGTACGGAATTTAAACCATCTGTTTAATTAGATTAATGATTCCTGCCCGCAACTATAAACTTTTTTCTCTCTTTGCCAAAATATTAAATAAGCCATTTTAAAACCACAGTTAAGGCAGAAGACCTAATCTAAACTTGGGATCGTCATATTTGAGCAGTTTCAAGTCGTCTTTACAGTCTCATCCTTTNCATCTTCTCCAGCTAGTTTATCCCCTTCATCTTCTCCAGCTAGTTTATCCCCTTCATCTTCTCCAGCTAGTTTATCCCCTTCATCTTCTCCAGCTAGTTTATCCCCTCCATCTTCTCCAGCTAGTTTATCCCCTCCAGCTCCTCCAACTAGTTATCCCCTTCATCTTCTCCAGCTAGTTTATCCCTTTCATCTTCTCCAACTAGTTTATCCACTCCATCTCTTCCAGCTAGTTTATCCCCTCGAACTCCTAAAGATTTTCTATCTCCTTCAGCTCCTCCAGCTAGTACATCCCCTCCAGCTCTTCCTTAACTTTTCCAACTCGTTCTTCTCCTCCAGCTCCTTCGGCTCCTCCAACTCTTTTCTAACTCTTCCAGCTCTTCCAGCTTTTCCAGCTCTTCCAGTTTTTCCAGTTCTGCCAGCTCTTCCATCTCCTTCAGCTCCTCCAGCTCCTCCAATCCCAAACAGGTTCTCCAGATCCTTATAGTTCCCTCTCCCTCCCCTTCCTCCCTTTCGCCAATAAAACCTGTAAAATACTATCCTAGGTTGGAGAGGATACAGTTCTGATCCCTGGTCTCCTAGTCACCAGGAGATACTGGCTAAATCCTTGTCATCCTTCTCCTCTCATCCATCCTACCTTCATCCATCATCCATCCTGGGAACAAACTATCTTCCTTCTTCATCCATCATACCAACATCCTTCGCATTCGATGAATTCAGTTTAACAGGAAAACTACCTCAAGGTAAGTTTTTTAAATGTTTTATCCAAAACCTGAGTTTATTACAGGGATTGTTGAAGTAATTTAAAGACACATTTCACAACGGGTTATTAAGAGTAAATAAGGAAGAGATAAATTCTGTCTATTTAATTTATTGTCTTTGCTGCATAAAACCCCAAGTCACTTTAGATAGATTCAGGATTCTAAAAAATGCGTACTTTTTAGTTAGAATGATGTTATATTTTATAAAGACACCCTGTAAAAATTCTTTATTGCTAGTTACAAAGAATCTTTGTAATAACATTAATAGATTTGGCAAGGGAACTGTAATGGTCAGGATTTAATTATTTGTAAAAGTTTTCGAGGATATTTTTTATTATATTTGGTCATCTTTTTTATATAATGTTTTAACTGACTAATCATGATAATTGTGAGATAAAGAATTTGAGTCTTTGCCACAAACTTAAATTTGTAAATCCCTATATATTTTTAACCTGATGGTGTAAACCTTTGACGTTTCAAACCCAAGTTATTTGTTTAGTTCATAGCTTGAGATATCTATAAGGTCTACGACATTGGGTTGCAAAGATACCAGGATTAGAAAATTAGAGTTTTTGGCAAAGAGTCAATTTGGTCTTATTTTTACCTCAAAAATGTTAATTATGATTTTATAATTTGCAATAGTTTTTTTTTAATAGTTTATTTGCAAATTCACAATTCCTTTATCCCATTGTATGCTAATATATTTTTATTGTATCATTGTACGATGTTGGGTTGTTTTATGTTATTGTTTATTATTTTAGTTTAAACTAACTTTTAACTTTTATTTCTTCTGCTGAATCTAAACCAGCCATCTTGCATCCTGTAGGTAGGGGAGGAGGGGAGATAAAAACTTTAGTAAAACTCTTATCATATTAGGTTTTATATACTTGCTTATTTTGCTTATGCTTTTCGTTTTTAGATTTGCAAAACCAAATATGTGGTAGTTTTTTTTGTGGGGGGGGGGCGGTGAAAATACACTAAGTTTTTTTTTATAAAGTAATAGTTTGTGTACCCAGCGCTGTCCCATCGTTTACCCGCACTTGAACAATGATACCGGGAAACTGATTTTTTCCTATTTAAGAAAACCCAATCAACTAAGAATCTTAAAACCAAACTCAGAACATTCTCTTGGGTCTCTCGAGATGCCCAATCAAAATTTGAGGCAAATCGGTCCAGAGGTTCCTGAGTTATGATCGGACAAACACACAAACAGACACCCAAACAGAGATGACAACTTTATATAATCTATATATAAAGTTGTCATAATAGACGTAATAAAGGTTTATGCACGCCAGAGGTTAATTGATTAATCACCAGATCTCTAATTTTTTAATCTCTACATTTTTACAACCTGAGATTGTTAACCTTTGATATTTAAAATTTTGATTTTTTGATCTTACAGAATTCATAGTTAGAAATATCAAATGTCCATGACATTGGGATGCAAAGAATCAGAAAATCAGAGTTGGTAATTTTCTTATCCCTATATCTTGCAACATTACATAGATGTTTCCTGTCCCAAAATAATAAAAAAAATATCGGTTATCGAGTTGAGGTGTGTGCGTAGCTAATAAGTAGATGTGAACATTTTTAAAATTGAATCCTAATAAGTTACAAACTTGGTCTCATATATTCAGCAAAATGTTCATTTATTAAATATATTCCTTTAAAAAATTGAATATCACTGCCGACTGTTTAGTGCATCTGCGCTTACAGAAATATATTCCAGGAATATCTCACAAAAGTGTGTGTTTGGGATAAGACTGTATACTTTACTTTTCTTCTAGAAGCTGACAACTGTGTGAGTTTGTGCGATCGCAAATGCGCACTGTTTACACCATTAATATATTTTTTACAAAGTCGTTTTTAAATCAGTGCATTTGCGCGTATTTAATTTAAATCTAGTTACATTCATGAATATCTTCCGAAACTGTGTGTTTGGAATAAAACTTATACTTTATATTCCTTTAGAAGCTAAACAATTTGTGAATTTTTGCCATTGAAAAATAAATCTGGACATGATTTTTTTAACGTAGAATCTGCACAGAGAGAGAAATATAGAGTTTTTAATTTAAGATCGTATACTCCAATTTTCTTTTAGAAGCTGAAAACTGTGTAAATTGTGCATGCGCAAACGCGCACTGTTTTCAACGATTGAAAACTAAATCCAGACATAATTTTTTGAACGCATTTATCTGTTGAAAGTATTTTGTCTAACAATACGCTGCAACTTGCATTTACAGATATTTCCATTTTGGTAAAGGAATTGGGTCTTAGGAACAAAATCAAATATTTAAACCTCAATATCTTTAGAACCCGATGTTTTAAACCTTTGATATTTCAAACTCAGATTTTTTGATCTAACAGAATTCTTAGTTTGAAATACCTAAGGTCTACAACATTTGGTTCCAAAGATATAGTGATTAGAAAATCAGAGTTTGTGACAAAGACTCAATTCCTTTGTTTTTCAGAAAATCAAATTATTTCTGAAAATTTTCCAAGAAATATTTAGATTTAAGAGTTTTTTCTTCAAATTCCAATATTATTATTTCAATTTCTTAAATAAATAAATATTACGTAGTTTTTTTGTAGAGCACAGCGATTTTAAGATCATTTGAAATGATAATAGAAATAGCAATTAAACTGACTGTCGTTGTAATTTCAAAGTACCCTCCTTTTAAAGAGGGCTATGCTCGATTCACAACGGTACCTTTTAACTTTTATCTGATCTATTGTTTTAATAATCAATTAAAGTTTTAATGGGTCACTTGAAGTTACGTCACAAAAAAATAGATTTGCGTTAAAGTAAACCGTGTGAAATAAAAATGTTAAAAATCAATAACTGAAGAGAAATAGTCTTCATATTTTTCCATCTTAAACATGAGAAGAATAAGAATTATATCCTGGGTTGAAATATTACCTATTAAAGAACTGCATTTTGCACAGCTCCAATTGTTCCCAAACATTAAATAAATCGAGTTCTGAGCCGGGTTCAAGGAGGGGGGAAGGGAAAGTCCATATTCCAACCTAAAAACATTTATTAAAATGGAGATGATAATTTATAAATAGAAAGAGTTTACCCTGGTAAGCCGCTAGTTTAAATACTTTCGTTGAACTATTAACTAAACTAGCTTTATTTTTCTCTCTGTTAATTAATTCTGAAAGTGGCTGTAAACAAGATTTTAAGTGATCCTCCATGCAAAGATGGCAATGCCCGATTCACAACGGTACTCTTAAAAGATTTGTCTAATCAAGAAAGAATTAGATAACTATATTTATAATCTTGAAAAGTGATTCTTTTCGATCGTCGTTTCTCTTCAAAAATGACTTGCGCAGTTCTACTGCAGTAAAACATACATATATTTTCAGAATTAAACACTTTTAAGCCTAGAAAAACGACACTATTTTCCATATTAGTTCCAAGTAAAGGTTTCAAGTTTTTCGTTGTGAATCACGCATGGCCATCTTTGCATGGAAGGATACTTATAATTAAGCTTACAGTCCCTTTAATCATTAATAACCCAGCAAGGTAATATTATTACACTATCAAGTTTGGTATAGAGGAATTATATGTTTCATGACAACTCAAATTTATTTTTAATCTAACATTGTAATATGCAGAAATAAAGATCTATAGGTATTTAAAGTGTCCCCGTAAAAATATTATCAAAGTAGCGCAGAAAAAAGTTTCTGCGTCATATATTTAAAATAGAATTTTTTATTTGCCTCAAATTTTGATTGGGGAACTCGGTAGAACCACAGGAATGTTCTTTGCTCGGTTTAAAAGTATTAAAAAAGTTGGTTGACTTCTATAATAAAAACTTAGTTAGTGTATAGCATTATATTCAACTCTCTGAACCTAGAACTTTTAACCAGGCCCGTGGTCTGGCTTTTTTTGTGCTCTTAAAGGGAGTGTTCGCGAAAAATGAAAGGGGGTATAGGCTTACGGCGAAAACTAATCGCTTTTGATCGCTACTAATCTTACTTCTATCTGTTGCGTCTATAAGGAGAAAATTGTTAAAAGCCTTATAACCCCCTTTTTCGCGAACACTCTCTTTTAAACTACAATTTTTCAATTTATCAAATAAAACTATGAAATTGTCTAATTCTCAACAAAATCATTCATATCTCTGGTAATTAGAAAGTACAAAAGAATGCAGACCACATTTTGGAAATGCCAGGACAACGGTTTTATGGGATTATTATATTATTGTAACTAATGCTAACATTAGGTGTCAAATAATGCCGCAAACTCTTTCTTAGGTCAAAGGCGACTTTTATAGGGAGTGACCGGCAATGTATGGTAGTTGAACTAAGAATGAAGGACTGTGGTTTGTGGAGAAATTTTTAGGATTCTTTTGAGACTTAAAAAACGTTTTAATGATGATAATTACTGAGTTTGAGCGCAAAATCGATGTTAAAAATCATTCATTTTGGTAGTTAAGTTTTGAGAATCGATCTTTTAAGAATTATTAAATAACGAAGGCGAAAGATGTATCAAAAATTCTGCAGTAAACTTGTTAGATGTTTAGGAACACATTTCTCGATAGAAATTTGTCAATAAATCAATGTTAGAATCAATTATTTTTTTTCATTATTTATTGAATTTCTTATTCTTTACGACTTTGTTTGCAGATTTCTACAAATTCTTCAAATGTCGTTTTTTCAATAAAAATTCCAGAAAATCTACAGAAAATGTTTGTGATCAATGAGAAAATACAGAATTTAACAATTGAATAAGAGTTAATTTTTATTTTCTAAACTTGTTCCTAAAAAATTAATTAGTTTACTGTAGAATTTGGTTACATTTTTTGTCGTCGTTATTAAATAATTTTTTTTTTAAACCGATTTTCAAAACGTAACCACCCAAATGGATGATTTTGAAAGTCGATTTTACTCATTAATTTTACATCATTAAAACGTTTTATATGTCTCAAATTAATCCTTTAAAAAAGATTTCTTCACAATACTACATTCTCAGTTCAACTGCCGGTCACTCCGTTTAAGTCTTTAAGCAATTATAAACGATTTTGGTTCATTTAGAATAGCACTGTATATAAACTAAAAACAAACTCTTATCTAGGGTTTTTACGGAACGGAGATCTAGGAGTAGGAAGAGGAGGAGTAGGAGGAGGAGATAGAGGAGAAGAGGTACCATCTCCGGCTCCAGGTGGATCTCCTCGTAACCCCTCATCACCTCAGAGAAAACTATCGATCATTCCTGAAGTTCCTGGACTTTCAGACTCAAGGTAGAAATTATTATAACTGTACAGGGGAACCCATAAAACTATGGAATAGTCAGACGACATATTAGTAGTTTTATGTCTATTTGGTGTTGTTGAAAGGTAGCTTTATAATTAACTGAAGTGTAGTGCTCCATCTACATTGGACTATAAGAAATCATAACTTCTTGAGTCTAACAGTCTTCTTCCTATTCCACAGTTTTATGGGTCTCACTTCACGTGTCCAGATTAATTAGATCGTTAATCTAGAAGGTGTCCCTTCACTAAACATAACAGTGTGTGCCAAAAAAGTTTCAAGAGGTCCATCATATTACAACAAGCGATCAGTCAATCTAATCATTTATTTCAAGGTTCATAAGGTTGAGGATTCAGATGTAATCGCTATTTTGCATACGTCATTTCATATCAATGTTCTTCTTCTTTGTCACAAAAATCTGAATTTTTTTGCAACCCAATGTGGTAGACATTTAATATTTCAAACTATGATTTCTGTTGGATCAAATAATATAAGTTTGATATATTCTGTCTCATCATTCATAAGGTTGAGGATTCAGATTGCAGTCAGTATTGATTGCAGGACAAATAGCGGCTTAAAAGGCAACATATAAAAACCAAAATTGTTACTAGAAAAGTTCTGAGATATGAGTATTAAATGTTTAAATCCTTGCAGGTGTCATCAGCAAATCAAGTTAAATATTTCTTTTATTGGCTCAATCAGACTTTGTTTGATTTTCTAACGAGCTGAAATGTTTATCCCAGGAGTTCAGAGTTTCTATTCTTCTGATGGAAAGTATAGAGCCTACAGTAAAATTATATGTCATTTAACTGAAATAAAAACAATAGAACAATTGCCAACACAAAAAAATCTTTAATTTTAAAACCTAAAAATAGCCTTTTTCTCCAAGTTGAATAAAAATGATGATTAAATCGAATAAAAAGTTCCATTATATTAGTTTTGATAAACGATTCTGCAATATATCTAATATTTTTATTTTTATTATAAGAAATGTTAATCATATTTATTACAATGGTCTTACAATAATAAAGAAATGAATGGAGTGCACAATGTTTTCCTTATTTGACTTTTCACTATGAATACAGGGTCAACCATAAAGAATTAGACTTAAAGGAACATTTGAGCCTATACCCCCTTTCATTTTTCCTTTACAGTCCCTTTAAAATGAAAATTAACAATATCTTTCCCGTTATAGAACAGATAAATGTTTAAATGATACTTTATTGGAAATCGGGCATATCACTCTTAAAATGAGGGTTCACATGAAAAGAAGTATAAAGTACCTTAATGCCGACCTAAAAATCTGTGAACCTATTTTAATCCTCAGGTTCTCCTCTCGTCCTCCTAGTTTGGCAGAATTAGCGGCTGGGTTGGGACCAAATGGAATGGAGATTGTTGTGACCAGTGCTCGGGACTCCTTGAGAAACCTGAACCTGGACCCGGAGCTGGGGACCTCCTCCTACCCCCAGTCTATGATGCAGACCGGATACTCCAGCTCCAGGACCGCCTACCCAACCCAGTACACCTTCACGGACTCCATGGACTCGATGAAGATGCCAAACTTGAGCAGTTTCCCAGGCAGATACGGGAATGTTCTCATTTCATTGAATCCTAATTTCTAAGATTTCAAAATTCAAAATTAATGTTTTCATGTCTGGAAGAAATCATTATTATCGGATTACAACCGCATTTTGTGTTTTATTGGAGACGCAGTTTTTCCATCCATTAAATAAAAAAGTTTTAAAAAGCTGTAAACGCATTAAAATGAAAGGCACAGGGTCTTCAATGAAAATCAAAAGGTTTCCAATGAAAGGAGGAGGATCTCAGATGAAACCTGGAAACACCCTCCGATGCTAAGAAAATATTCCGATAAGAATGATCTTCTAGATTTCTAGTTCCTGTTCAAAGAATCAACCCTTAATAAAATGAGAATATTGTCAGGTTTTAATCATGACAGGGTTCAACAACATAGTATAGGCAATAGTCTTCAATATTCTTCACGTTTAAATAATCTCCCAATCAACATTGAAAAAATTTTAAGTGGTTATTTTTTTTCTATTTCTTTTTCAACAGATTTAAAAAAAAATTATTCTTTCGAAATACTTTCAATTTATGCATGCTTATTTCTATTATTATTTCTCTTTCAATACTTTCTTTTGTATGTTTTTTTATTGTTTTTTATTCCTTATTTTGTTTACGTAATTTCACGTGACTCTCCCTGTATACTTTTAATTATTAAACATCAGTTTACAGACGAAGCTTTTAACATTTACAAATGCTTCATGGCTAATATATAATTAACCTTGATTAGTCAATGATTTAAAGTGTATCGTTGTGAATCGGACATGCCAGTCGAAAAATTAAGGGCCACTTGAAGTCTACAATCTCTTTAATCTTTTTTTGTTTGTTCTTTAAATATATTGAAAACTATTTGTAGATTCCTCTGTAGTTACTGAGGGTCATTATGATGCTTCTTTTGAAACCGAGGACCAACCTAACGATCTTTCCGCGGACATTAGACAAAATGAACAAAAAGGACAAAACGGACAAAATGGAAAAAATGGAAAAAATGAACAAAATGGACAAAATATAGGGACAACATCTAGTGGAATATCCACCGAGAAGGGAAAGCCAGATTTAAATACAAGGTAAATAATAAAATAAAAATGATTTGTTGTTTTTATCTCAACCAAAATTGTATATTTAAAATTTCATATTTCAAACTATGAATTTTATTTGTTCAATATGTCTAAGTTTGAAGATTTACGCTATCAGGTTGGAACGATATAGGGATTAGAAAATTAGAGTTTGTGGCAAACTCTAATTTAACTAAAAAATGGCCGAAATTTAAAATATAAAAGTTTCTTGTAGCTTTCTAATTAAAACTGATACGAACTTTCTAGTTTTTTAAATTAAAAGTTTTCATTGAACCCTGATTTTAAGTTTGGTTGAATATAATACATGTAATAATATAATAATCGGCTGTGTTTAAGAATATACTAATAAGAGATTCCTCTATAAAAAACACCCTCTGTGCTTAAGAATATGCTAATAAGAGACTCCTCTATACAATACATCCACTGTATTCATGAATATACTAATTTTAGTAAATGTGGAGAGTTATCAGCTCCATCTTCCGGTTCTCAGACAACATTTACATCAGGAGTAGGTAGGAGATACAGGGATACAGGGATACAGTGATATAGGGGTACAAGGATACAGGGATACTGGGATACAGGGATACAGGGATACAGGGATACAGGGATACATGGATACAGAGATATAGGTACACAGGGATATAGGGATACAGGGATACAGAGATACAGTGATATAGGGGTACAAGGATACAGGGATACAGGGATACAGTGATATAGGGATACATGGATACAGAGATATAGGGATACAGAGATATAGGGATACAGGGATACAGAGATACAGTGATATAGGGGTACAAGGATACAGGGATACAGGGATACAGTGATATAGGGATACACGGATACAGTGATATAGGGATATAGGGATACAGGGATACAGGGATACAGGGATACAGGGATACAGAGATATAGGGATACAAGGATACAGGGATACAGAGATATAGGGACACAGGGATACAGTGATATAGGGATACAGGGATACAGGGATACAGGGATATAGGGATACAGGGATACAGGGATACAGTGATATAGGGATACAAGGATACAGGGATACAGGGATACAGGGAAACAATGATATAGGGATACAGGGATACATGGATACAGGGATACATGGATGCATAGATACAGGGATACAATGATACAGGGATACAGGGGTACAGGGATATAGGAATACAGTGATACAGGGATACAGGGATATAGGGATATAAGGAAGCAGGGATACAGGGGGAATGCAGGGATACAGGGGGATACAAGGATATAGAGATCCAATGATACAGGATGCTAGATACAAACTATATACAGAGATGAAAGATAATGTAAAACAGGGATAATAGTTAACATATAATCAAATAAAGTTACAACAATGTAAAAATATTATTATTCTGTTTTATAATGGTCCATATTGCTGACTGTTACAATAAACTTGATTATATGTGAATATGAATAAACTAATACCTTTTCTTTTCGATGTAATATGTAATATTTGGATTTTGGACCTGTTTTCATTCTTTTATTAGTTCTATTTTACGCGTGTTTTGGAAATAATCATGTGCTCTCAAGCATGTTTTTCTTTTTGAAAATTGATTATCTTTAATCATGGGTTCACTTTAAAGTTGCGTATGATAGATGAAGTTATCAGAATTTAACACTTTTCATTCAAGGTAGAAAAAACGACGTTAATTTCAATATATTGCTGATTTTATATAGGTTTATAAAGGGTACTATTGTTAATAGGTCAAATTACGTTGATATTTCCTTAAAATGTTTTATTTATTTTAAAGAGACATCGCCCCCCCCCTTTCTTCAGCTACTTGATGTATTTGATACATCTTCAGGGTTCAATAATCTCCAGTTTGATAAATATGTATTGGTCTAATTCAAATATTGGTTTAGGACCCACCCACACATCATCAAACCTCCAGGATTCAAGACAACCTGCTCAATCAACACAACCCGGTCATTCAACACAACACGGTCAACCTAACCCAGCCATTCATTCTAATCCAACGGGCCAGCAAACACAAGAGGGTTATCTAGAACATCTCTTTCATCCCAACCAACCCGGTCATCCAAACCAAATTGGTCAATCCACCAATCCCGGTCTCCAATCCGGCCATCGCATCCAACAAGCCCGACCCAGTCAGCCATTTCAACTCGGTCATTCTGCCCAGCCCAGTGATCCTACCCAGCCCGGTCATCCTATCCAACCCGGTCATCCTACCCAGCCCGGTGAGTCTCAAAATACTGGAGGTACCCTGCTCCAACCTTGTACTACCACTGTAAGCTCAAATAGAAATCTGCCTCTACCGATCACAAGTGCACTCAAAACTGTACCAGATATAGTCAGGTAAATTTGTTGCAGTCAAAAGATCTCCAAAAAAAGTGTACCTTAGTTTCAAAAGATCCGTGTATCTTAGTTTCCAACAGATACATATCATATTTTAAAAAAAGTTTTTGTTTCTAAGTATTCAAAAGATCTTTGTATTTAAGTTCCAAAAGATCCTCAATTGTACCTTACTTTCTGAAAGATCCTTTGTTCTTAGTTTTCAAAAGATCCTTGTATCATAGTTTCCAAAAGATCCTTGTATCTTAGTTTCCAAAAGATCCTTGTATCATAGTTTCCAAAAGATCCTTGTATCTTAGTTTCCAAAAGATCCTTTAATTTCTTAAAATCTATCTATCTTAGTTTCTAAAAAATACTTCAAATTTAGTTGATGAAGTTTATTGCATATTAGTTCCTACAGATCCTTGTGTCCTGTATCACATTAAGCCCATGTGATTAATCTTAATGATGTATATTTGTAAAGGAGTATTTGTCCTGAAACCAATTAACTTGTCTGGATGAGTTGGTTGGCAAGGATTGCATAGTCTGGTTAATATTAGTCCCAAATACTGCTGCAGGAATGTTCACCAGAGAATTAGAAAATAACACAAACCAAGAATTTATAAAATAGAAGTTTTTCTCCGAACTCTTTTAAATCTGTTTAATCATTTACAGGAATGATTAAAACCGTAAAAACAAGAAGTTTCTGCAATTTAAACAGGAAACTAATTCTTAAAGATACTACGAGTGAAGAATCCTTTGAAAACTTTTTTTAAAAGAGATGTTTTTTGTCCCCAGGACATGATCGGGTTGTTACTAGGTTTTCCAATTGCAATTCCGTTGCCCGTAACTGTTATCGAATTGCGCGGAATTTTTAGGAGTTTGCAGGGCTAAAATCAACTTGCGTTGGAAACCCTAGTAGTTACAATCGAATCTCGGAATTTTCTAATGCGAAAGTTTGGTGTTGTATGGGTTTATATTGATCTGCCAGAGGTTGTAATCTGACAGCACATTCATCCATCCACGCATATTTAATACTGAGAAGAGGGCTGACAAGATTCCAGCTGCTTCTTAGGCCTGAGAATAATAGAGTGCAGGAATTCTTCTGATATAGTGGAATGAGGCCCGGGTGCCACACAGATAGGAAACATCACACTTTTTGCTCCAAATCATTTGTAAGCCCGGATGGATACCCCCAGGTACCTATAGCTGGCAACCATAGACTCTCCCTGCTTGTCAATCTTTCCTCTCTTCATCATCATTCACTTGGATCAATCCATTTCAAGCTTCTTTTTGTTGAGTAGAAAGATGCACCCTTTCGCTGCGAGAGATGTTGACAGCCGCGCCTCTGTCCTCCTACATTCAGATGTTGACTTCAGATGATTTTGAAACCACAGATTTGTGTGGAGTGCGAGAATCAAACCCGTGAACACCAGTCTGGATACCAATCCTGTTACTGCCTGTGGACAAGTGATCTAACGAGAACTGGTGTTACACACTAGCCACCCCACCCCAAGAGTTTTGGAAACATAAGAGTGAAGGATCTTTTGGAAACATAAGAGTGAAGGATCTTTTGGAAACTTTGATACAAGGGTCTGTCGGAAATTAAAATACAAGAATATATTGGAAACTAAGATACAAGAATATATTGGCAACTATATGATACAAGAATTTATTGGAAACTAAAATACAAGGGCCATTTTAAAACTAAGATACAAGAACCCTTAGGAAACTAAAATACAAGGATCTATTGGAAACTAAGATACGAAAATATGCAAGAAACTAAGATACAAGAATCTTTTTTTCAAATATCAGTCCTTGAATGCAAGAAAAATGTATTCTATATATATAATATTCTACCAAAACTGTGATTAGTGGTAGCATATCAACTCTGATATTGAGTAAATATTTATACTTGATATTCAATACAAAGCAGTTCCAAGTATCCTGCTAAACCCTCTAATATGTATATGTAATATATAAATATATTTATAATATACGTTTATCACCCTCATCTATTCATAAACACCTCAATAAACCTCCAACAGTGTGGGATATAAGTTTTGAAGAAAAAGAAAAAGGTTTCTTAAAACCAAGGACGGAAAAATCGGACCCAACCCCCTCACACCCTTCATTTATTTTCTCAATATTTTCTCAGAAGATTCATAACATTGCAAATATTGCATTTCTCTGCGAATTCTACAGATTGTTTTTGCATACTGTTGTGAGCACATCTATAGCAGGAGTTTGCATCCGACTATGCAAGAACGTTTTTGTATATTTCACAAAGAATGGTTTGCCTTTATATCTCATCATAAAGATATATATAGGTCTATGCATGCATATGTCAGGAGGAGAGTTTAAACATTTAAAAAAGGGCGATAAAAAGTGTAATTTGCGAATAAATTCCACTTGGCTTGAATTAAAGACGGATGAATTAATTAAAGATGAATGCTTGAATTGAAGATGGCTGCTTAAATTAAAGATGGCTTCTTAAATCAAAGACGAATGCATTAATTCAAGATGGATGCATGAATTAAAAATTGCTGCTTGAATTAAGGATGGATTCTTAAATTAACGACGGATGCATTAATTAAAGATGGAAGCCTGAATTAAAGATGGATGCATGAATTAAAGATGGCTGCTTGAATTAAGGATGGATTTTTAAATTAAAGACGGATGCATGAATTAAAGATGGAATCCTGAATTAAATATGGATGCATGAATTAAAGATGGAAGGATGAATTAAAGATGGAAGGATGAATTACAGATGGCTGCTTGAATTAAGGATGGATTCTTAAATTAAAGACGAATGCATGGGTTTAAAATTGATGCATGAATGGATGCTTCAACTAAAGATGGATGCTTAAATTAAAGATGGATTCTTGAATTAACGATGGATGCATGAATTAAAGATGGATGCTTGAACTAAAGAAGGATGCTTAAATTTAAGAATGATCCGTGAATTAAAGATGGATGCATGAACTAAAAATGGCTGCTCTTATAAACCCCTTATAAAAATAGCGGTATATTATCAACGATGTTGGCTCTATAAACGTTGTTGGCTCTATGAAAGATGGCAGCTGTGTATGAAATATGGCATTTCTGTGAAAGATTGTGGCTCTGCGGACAAATGTGTTTTCTAATTTACGGGATTGAACCAAATGATGATAGCAGCACTATTCCATTACCTTCCCTCGGCACACAAACATTTCATACATCTCTGTATTCTTCCAATCTCTTAATTTCTTCCGCCTACTAGTCTTTCTTTAAGATATATCTTGGCAAAAGGGACTGTAGATGTAATTTCAAATAACCTTTCATTTATGAAGTGACATGTCTGATTTACAACGGTCCTTTTATCTCGTTCTGATCAAAAATTTCCTTATATTTCCGAGTTTTAACTGAAGAAATACTCAAAATTGTGAATAACTTTGCATGCAAGCTGTTTAATATTAAAAAAATATTATTATCCATTTTCTCGGAATCACAGAAAATTTTCATTCAATTTTTTGACGTCATATTTTTGGAACTCTGGGAATTTTGGTTCGGGAACCATGTGACGCCATTAGTACGGAGTTGACACTGCACACTTTTAGTGTACACTGTTCCCCGGCATTAAATTTTTCAATTAAAAAACTTGGGATGGATCCGTCACCGATGATCAGAATTGGTATCGTTGCGAAACAAAAATACCATTCTGTAAATGTGTGTCAGTTGAAATTACGACCACTGTCCCTTCGAGTATTTGTCATCTTCTTGTTCTAAAGATGGTTGCTTTTAGTACACAGTTCCATCAAGCTTCAGATCTTTCTATTAATATAATCTACAGTGATAAAACAAACGTATTTTGCTCGCTCCAGCAATCAACATCACAAAACAAAACAAAAAAACATTTCGTTCAGCGCTAAACAAAATTATTGCTAATGCATGTAATGGATGGCAACCCTATGGAATGATTGCCGTCTTCTTTCTAACTTTTTATTAAAGGGATTTAAAGCGCAATTTCAAACGACTTTCCATTTAAAGAGGAGAATCCACGATTCACACCATGGACTGATGAAATGTTTTAATTGCTAAGAACTTAGTTTGCAGGCTGTTATATATTTGAGAAATATTAATAGCTACGTTCTTAAAGTGCGTTGAGGTTACTCTGTACACAGCGTACTCGCCGCGTTTTAGAGGACTTCTAACGCGTTTCGATATATTTAAACAGAGAGATCTTCCTACTCGATGAAGGGTAAAGGTTTCAAGGGTACATTAGTCAATCGAACATTTGCATTGAGTGTCACCTGTAATTTCGTGTATAGTCCCTTCTATACAGTGATAACCAGAAAACACTGGAATAGGAAGTCGACTTTTAAACTCAAGTTATGATTTTTAATAGCGCACTGAACATGAGACTCAGCAATTGTACAATATAAACAAACCCATTTTACTTAATAAGTAATTTAATAACTTTCAAGTAAAGCTAATTGCTTTAAACAACATCAAATGCATTTCAGAAGTGCATTTGATGTCGTATTCCTGTTCTACAGTTTTCTGTAAATGTCACTAGAAATGTTGGCAAGGATTTTTAATTTGTTTTCTGACATATATCTTTAAACAATTCTCAATGACCATGGTAAATAAATCTGTTAAAAAGAACATCCTTTCATAGAATTAAAATTAAAAGACGACACTCATTCCACTGTTTTCTGGTTACCACTGTACAGATTGATGAAAGGGTTTGTAAGATTCTAATATTATCAATGTAGATATTTGTCACACAAAATCAGACCTATTCTATAGCAGTTCCGGAATAGAAAGTACATCAACCAATCAAGGTCCAGTAAAACAAACAATAATTTTGATATAAATACAATGAGAAAAACAAGATCATTTAAAAAAACCTGACCACGCGATAATGTAGATTGCTATAGATTGCATGATTGTATGTAAATTGTATATTATATATTGTGTGTGGTATATTGTACATTATATATTTTATTTTATATATTTATATTGTTTATTGTATATTATATATTGTATATTGTAGACTGTGGATTGTAGATTGTAGATTGTAGATTGTAGACTGTAGACTGTAGACTGTAGACTGTAGATTGTAGATTGTAGACTGTAGACTGTAGATTGTAGATTGTAGACTGTAGACTGTAGATTGTAGATTGTAGTTTGTAGATTGTAGATTGTAGATTGTAGATTGTATATTGTAGATTGTAGATTGTAGACTGTAGACTGTAGATTGTAGATTGTAGATTGTAGACTGTAGACTGTAGATTGTAGATTGTAGATTGTAGATTGTAGATTGTAGATTGTAAATTGTAAATTGTAGACTGTAGACTGTAGATTGTTGAGTGATTTTAATATTTCAGTTCGAATGGACCTATGAGTGCTGAGAATGATCTGTTCACCACCGACAACAACGGGGTGGGTCCATCTAGCTCCGCCTTTCTTCATCGTTCTGGCGAACCTCGACCTGCCTATCTCCCAGGGGCGGGTAAACCTAGCCACGCCTTTCAACCTGGTGCAGGGCATATGAAAAACAGTCTACCAACCAATTTTAGAAATAAAATTGGTGAACACCAAGTACAGCAGGTAAGTTTGGAACTTTTGAACCCTTGGACTCAAACGAATTCAACTAGAGTGGGATCCATAAAACCGTGGAATATAAACATAGCTGAAATTTAAGGAACCTTATGTGCATATCAGGTTGACATAAAGCAAACCCTTGGAATAGTAGTTTAGAAATAAAATAAAATGGTTCTGTTTGCCCAATTAATGTTCATTAAAATCATACTTACAGTCGTTTTCCGTTTCCCTAGTTTTATGAGCCCCACTGTAATAGATTAAGACGTCGTGTCATAAGGCCCATCCCAATTAAGCTAATGCATCATTTTTAAAGTTCAATCGCGTTTTCGTCAATAATTCAACAATTTTAAAACTTGCGAGTTTTCCTTCTTTAGTTTTTCATTTAAAACACATCGACCCACAACAAAAAGAATTATAAAGAGAAAAAGCAAAAAAATATTTTTAATTTTTCAAATGGTGATCGATTGTCACAGATTACTGAAACAAGGATCGAACTGTGAAATCCGCGAGTATCCCGACCGCCCCCTCTGTTTTTTACATAAAAATAAAAAAGTTGCGGCCTGAATTTTTTCGAATGCACATTTCCTTTCTACTTAAGAACTCATGGCCTTTGTTTTATTCCTTAACCCAGATATATTGTCCTGAATCCTTCAGGATCTTGTTTTCTTATCATCTCGTCATATGCAGCAAACATTTTATTCTTTACAGAGTAATTTATTTAGTAAAAACTACTCAGTATTAGAAAGGAAAATAAATCAGTGTAATTAATAATTGATTACGCTGAAAGGATTAACATACAATCTCAATGTTTAATACGGAAAAATATTGGTTTTTTAAAATATTTTTCTTCCGATTTTTGTAATACTTGGCTTGAGGCCCTTTTTTATTGTAAAAAGTGTAGCTGTTAAATCTATCTTTTTCTTCATCGATACATTTTAGTAAATTTGGCAGATTTTTCAGTTTTTTTTATGGGGAATTTTGAAAGTTTTTAAAAATCTAAATTATTTTGAGACAAATATTTTAAATTTTGACTGGCCACAAATCTTCCCTGAGCCTTGAAAGTTGCCGCAAAAAAGGCTTGGTCAATATAGCCGTTTTGACGTTTATTGGATTCAAACATAAAAATCATATATCTTTAAATATGTTGAAGAACGCAGAATAAGATATCACAAAATATCACAGAATTAAATATTTAAAGAAAACTAATGATTGACAAAAAATATTGTCCAAGCTATCCAGAGGATAAAAGGGAAGCAAAGTGTACAGAAAGTAATTAAATAAATCACCGCTGGCTAAATACTAAAATATGCACTTTGTCTAATAGCTTTATAATTAGAAATGGTTTTATTTTATTAATGTGACTGTAAAGTGAAGTCGTTATTTCAAATGATCTTCTTTCTTTAGAGTGACTTGTTCTCATTTTAGAGTGACATGTCCTATTTTTAGAGGACCATGTCCGATTTTTAGAGTGACATGTCCCATTTACAACGGTGATCTTTAAACCTTATTCTGTGCAATTTGTCTGCGAATTCGAAATGGCAGTCTATAAAATAAGGATTACTTGGATTGAAGTTACGTTATTTTTGGACTTTAGAAAAGCCTTTAATGCGCTGAAAGTAAAAAACAAATTATAGTTTTAAAATTATTCTAAAAATATTTCCTTCATTTTCGTTATTCTTGTCAAAACTTTTCATGGTACACTTTACAGTGATTGTAAAGTTTAACCCAGAACATCGGAGGCATCTAAAGAATTTATAAAATGTCGTTTTCGATGGGTTTCATAATTTCATCCCAAACTCTCAGTGTAATTATAAAAATAAATAAATAGGCATGCAATATGCGGGAACAGTTTTAAAGACCTCCATATAAGTATTCAATTGGAAAACTAAATAATTCCATTATCAGTAGATTTAGAAAACAACATTTTCTAAATTCCTTCGATGTGTCCTATAAGTACTCAGTTAAACTGTATTAAACAAAATATTTAGCCCAAATATCGTTGTTGTATTAAAAAAGTTTCTGAGGACCACTGTTTATAAAATTTAAGATAAATTGAATTTGAATCTAGATGAGTGAGGAAGAGGAAGGGATGATGCTCTGGAAGAGAGTGCGGCATTGTGTCGTCTTCGGTGGAACCTTGGTTAAAACTAAGAAATAAAACCAAACCAAATATTTTCCCGTTCACTCACGCATAATACAATCAACAAAACTCAGCGACGAGAAGCAATTCCTTTTTCTTTTTTTAAATAATATAATTAAGGTAAAATGGAGAAATAATGCCATACAGTTAAACAGTTCCAGCAAAAACATTTTTTAAGATTTACAAACAGAAGTCTCAACTTCAATACTTCAATTATGAATTATGTGAAATGTGCATCAAGTTTTTTATTTATAGCTCCAGGGCCAAATTTAATGTTGTGTTTGAACGACTTATACGTAGTTGAATCTCTACCTTATGCGCCGATTCAGGTTAAAGAAAAGCAATTCAGCTAAGTCTACATAGTTCAACGACTTCTCACTTTTCATTAACTTTGGTACCTGATTTTTTCTTCCGTTTTTTTATTTAAACCTCAACATTTATCTAAATGGACGACACATTTTATGAAAATTATTTTCAACTCTTCATAAGAAACAATGGACTCATATCAATAAACAATAAATAGAAGAAAATATATTTATCAAACAGACAAAGTACTGATATATACATTATACATTATACACTGCAGTCAAATCTGAGATCTGAGACTAATAATGCTCTGCAGTAAACATAACATATAATACTCAACCCACAAAACAACCGACAGACACATACAGATGTTGTCTGATTTCATCAGATTTTTTTAACACCAAAAAATTAAATGTTTCTTGGCACTTTTGTTTTTAAATCCAATTATTGCTAGTTAAATTTCCAATAAAAATCTTATAAATGACAATACTATGTACACATTTCACATATAGACTCGTCCATAAATGTAAAATAGTATGTCTGTTTGATTGTTTATTTTGATGTCCTAGCATAGTTCATAAACCCCTGGACCGATTTGCCACAAATTTTTGGTAACTCGGTAGAACCAAGCTAGTACTTGGTAAAGCATTAAAAAAGATGTTTTAAGGATTTAAAATGGGGATTTTTGAAGAAGGACTTACACATAATCTAACAATAAGTTATACGAACCAAGATTTTTCCAGTCCCCCTTGAATACGCACTTACCGACACTAACTCCCCCTTTAATACGCACTTACCGACACTAACTCCCCCTTGAATTCGCACTTACCGACACTAACTCCCCCTTGAATACGCACTTACCGACACTAACTCCCCCTTTAATACGCACTTACCGACACTATCTCTCCCTTGAATACGCACTTACCGACACTAACTCCCCCTTTAATACGCACTTACCGACACTATCTCTCCCTTGAATACGCACTTACCGACACTAACTCTCCCTTGAATACGCACTTACCGACACTAACTCTCCCTTTAATACGCACTTATCGACACTAACTCCCCCTTTAATACGCACTTACCGACACAAACTCCCCCTTCAATACGCACTTACCGACACTAACTCCCCCTTTAATACGCACTTACCGACACTATCTCTCCCTTGAATACGCACTTACCGACACTAACTGTTTACAATTAACTCGGTGAAAACTAAAACCTCTAATCAGACGAGAAATGCTTTATAATTCAAAATTGTGAAGAATTTTGGAGCTATTATCTTCTTCTAATCAAATACTTGTTTTAAATCATCATAAAAAAAATATTTTTAGTGTAAAATATTTTTTTTTTTAATTCTACATCTTACTTTTTGGTGTGATACCAACTTTATTTTTAAATTAATCTTAACTTCAGCATGAATCTCACAATTTTAAATTTAAAGGGGAATATTATTCAAACTTTAAAAATAAAGAAAAAAGATAAAATGAAGAAAATAAAAATATTCTCATTGGTAGACTAATTTGAGGTAAACGGTTTTCCTCATTAAAGAACCTGTTTTTATCTCCAAAGAATACAAACATAAAAATGTTGGTCAAACTTTTTTCAGCAGTTTTCCCTGTTTCCTGTTGAACACTTTCTAACCCTTACATTTTGTTCACTACATTATGAATATTATGTCAGAAATTTAAAAAAAGGAATTGAGTCTTTGTAACAAACTCTGATTTTCTAATACCTATATTTTTTGCACCTGATGGTGTAAACCTTTAATATTTTAAACTTGATTTTTTCATCTAACATAATTCATAGTATGAAATATCAAAGGTCTACGGCATTGGATTACAAAGATATAGAGATTAGAAAATCATAGTTTGTGACAAAGACTCAATTCTTTTAAGAAAAAAGTGTTAGAGTTCTTCACCAGTGTAACGCCATGATCATGAACAGGCGAGTTTTAAAATTAAAACTAAGAAGAAATTATGAGTCGTTGCCAAAATATAAATATTTGCTAATTCCTATATAATTGCAACCTGATAATGCAAACCTTTGATATTTCAAACTCATATTATTTGATCTGTCTGAATTCATAGTTTGAATTTTAAAAGGTTGCAAAGAAATAGGGATTAGAAAATTTGAGTTTGTGGCAAAATTTGAGTTAAAAAGGCTCTTTATTCTAGTCGTATAAAACAAATATACAGTTAGAACCAGAAAACAGTCAAATATATGTCTTCTTTGTTCTTCATTTTACTCTCAAAACATTGATAAGGGTTTTGTAATTTGCAATTGTTGGAACTAAATTCGAGCACTTTTTTAGAAGAATAATAATTAGCGATATTTCATAACTAAGAGAAAAAGAAGACGACACGAATTCTACTGGTTTTTTTTATTGTTCTAATTTTACAAAAAGAAAATTACTGCCCCTTTGGTGCAGAACTGTAAGATGTTTACTATTGTACGATATCAGAGAAAAATCTTCCTGATAAAACTTTGTGATCCGTGGTTTGAACATTGTAACAATACAAGACGTTAAATATATTAGATATTGTGATTTTAAAACGAATAATTCTGATAATATGTGTCAGGCTCAATTGTTTCTGTAACATTGTATGGAATATTTATACTTATAAATAAAAAGTATTTAAGAATTTGTATTTTTTCTGTTATATATATTTAATATGCAGTATACAGGCTGATTCTTAAAAGTCGATTCTTTTTAAATTATCACCAAAGCAAAACAAGGTATCACAACAAAAAGATAATCTTAATATATATTGACTCGTTATTACATGACATTTGACAAAGAAAGTTAAACTAAATGAAGATAAACAATAAAAGATATTATTAAAAACAATTTTTAAACAAAAGAAAGATTTTTAAAAACGGGGGGAATAATGAGGTTAGGTCATGTGAGATGCCTTGATCTGGTCAGGAGTGAGATGCAGCGTCCTCCTAGGGGGGGNGAACAACTGTAGGTCTGGTGGGAGCATGAACCATAGCCTTCTCGGCTGCATCCCACATCATGTCAAACTCGGGAGTTTTGCTGAAAAGCATTCCCTGCTTCATGTTCATCCAGATGCCCATCTCCTCCTCCATGAACTGTCTGACAGCGTTTGAGAGGTAGAAGGCATATGCCTTCCTAGATATGACCTTGAAGTTACGAGTTGACCAGATCATTCGGTCCCATATACCGAGCTTCCCTAAATGATTATTAGATAAGGTATGTCCTATCTATATAATCTATATTGTAAAAGTTTTATATCTATAAGTTTATATCTAGTTATAACCCATTTAAATATTCTCATGTTAATTGTATCCCCCTGTATCTCATGTTGGTTGTATTTCCCTGTATTCTCAGGTTGATTGAATACTACTTTATCTATATTGGTTTGTAAAAAAAAACAGAAACAGACTTACCGGGGGAGGGAGGACAAGCCCACACTACAGCCCACAGACTTTTCCACTCCTCAGACTCCACATACTCCGTAGCCTCGCTCAAGGAGATATTTACTCCCATATGGGCCATATACTTCATGGCACATAATTCCCTATTGAACTTTAGATTCTCATCACTGAGTTGAGTATTGAATACAACCTTTAAGTTGGTATCCAACTTCTGGATAAATCCCTCAGCTAGAAATTTGTTAACTTTCTTAGGGTCGTTCATTATAATCTTAGTTTTTAATTACTAGTTGTAACACATTTAAATATTCTCATGTTAATTGTATCCCCCTGTATCTCATGTTAATTGTATCCCCCTGTATCTCATGTTGATTGAATAACCCTTTATCTATGTTGTTAGAGTATGTTAACCAGGTTAGAATACCCTAACTATATTAGAAATTGTTGTTAGAGACCCAAAATATGTTGTTATTCACTCAAAGGAACTTTTGACCCGTTCGCGCGTCGTCTCGTAACTAACCAACCCAAATCACCTGTGCAGTGCCATGAAGGAGTGCTCTGAGAGCAAAGTGCCGGAAACAAAAGTTGAAGCCCACAAAAATACCTGTCTGCATACAAAATTTCAACCCTGTAGGGTCCCCCATTTGCTCTTGTAACTAACCACTTGTGCAGTGCCATGAAGGAGTGCTCTGAGAGCAAAGTGCCTTATACAAAAGTTGAAGCCCACGTCCATTCCTGTCTGCATTCAAAATTTCAACCCTGTAGGTTCACCCGTTAGCGCGCGAGCATCATCTTGTAACTAACCAACCCAAATCACCTGTGCAGTGCCATGAAGGAGTGCTCTGAGAGCAAAGTGCCTTAAACAAAAGTTGAAGCCCACAACTGTCTGCATACAAAATTTCAACCCTGTAGGTTCACCCGTTTGCGCGCGCGCGCGCACGTCGTCTCGTAACTAACCCCTTGTGCAGTGTCATGAAGGAGTGCTCTGAGAGCAAAGTTTCAACCACTTTTCATTCATATAAATAAAAAATATATAAAATGTATAAAATATATAAAATATATAAAATATCTATGTTGTTAGAGTATGCTAACCAGGTTGAAATACCCTAACTATATTAGAAATTGTTGTTAGAGACCCAAAATAAGTTGTTATTCACTCAGAGGATCTTGAAGAACTGAAGAAATGGAAGGAGACTAGCACATGGAAATGAGTCATCCATGATGCAATGACATTGATGGTGTTTCACTGTAGCAGGGATAGATAGTGTCTCCAAAAAATAAAAATAAAATTTTTTTTTAAACTTTTAACAACTAACAACTAACCAACCCAAATCACCATGAAGGAGTGCTCTGAGAGCAAAGTTCCTGAAACAAAAGTTGAAGCCCACGTCTATACCTGTCTGCATACAAAATTTCAACCCTGTAGGTTGTCCTGTGCGCGCGCCCGTCGTCTCGTAACTAACCAACCCAAATCACCTGTGCAGTGCCATGAAGGAGTGCTCTGAGAGCAAAGTGCCTAAACAAAAGTTCTCATTTCTCAGACCACTCTATCTTTAAATGCTTATATCTTTGGAACCAGTTGAGATTTTCAAGAAATTTCAAAAAGCACAGGTAGATACAGAAGTGGACTATCAGTGTGCAAAGTCAGTACGAGCTGACTTACGTAACGAAGAAATCAGAGCGCTTCGCGTCAAACGTTTTTTTAATACTTGAAATAATAGAGATATCAAAGAAAAAATTTAGATCGATGTTTCTATATATAGTAGTGAGTTATAACCAAAATTTCAGCCAAATCTAAAATTTTTGTCAAAAAAATCTGAAAAACTTTTTTTTAGGATCCAAAATAGATTTGTCTAATATTTGGATTATTGCTTCATAATATAGTAGGGATCTCAGATCCAAAATATTAGGTCAATATCTCTTTTCGTTCCAGAGATATAGGCATTTAAAGATGGCGTTAAATGAAAAGTGGTTGAAATGACGCTCGCGCGCGCGCGCGAACGGGTCATCCTACAGGGTTGAAATTTTGTATACATACAGGTATGGACGTGGGCTTCAACTTTTGTTTCAGGCACTTTGCTCTCAGAGCACTCCTTCATAGTGATTTGGGTTGGTTAGTTACGAGACGACGGGCGTGCGCGCGCGCAAACGGGACAACCTACAGAAATGAAATTTGGTGTGTAAGTAGATCTGACCTTCCTCTACAATTTTGCTTTTCTTCAATTTGCTCTCAGAGGAATTCTACCACTCATAATTGTATTTCATATTAAAAGAAGTTCCTCCCCCCAAAAAAGTTCTTCATAATTTTTCAAAAAAAAAGTCGAAAAAAGTTTTTAAAAAAATTGTTAAAAGTTTTAGAAAAAATTTAAAAAAAAAAATTTTAGAGACACTATCTATCCCTGCTACAGACAGGTATTTTTGTGGACTTCAACTTTTGTTTAAGGCACTTTGCTCTCAGAGCACTCCTTCATGGCACTGCACAAGTGGTTAGTTACAAGACGACGCGCGCGCGTGAACGGGACAACCTACAGGGTTGAAATTTAGTATGCAGACAGTTATGGACGTGGGCTTCAACTTTTGTTTCAGGCACTTTGCTCTCAGAGCACTCCTTCATGGCACTGCACAGGTGATTTGAGTTGGTTAGTTACGAGACGACGCGCGCGCGCGAGCGCGAACGGGTCAACCTACAGGGTTAAAATTTGGTGTGTAAGTAGATCTTACCTTCCTCTACAACTTTGCTTTTCTTCACTTTGCTCTCAGAGCAATTCTATGTTTCGTTTCTAGCCAGATTTTGTGCTAAGACACATATTATTCACTTACATATATTTCAAGTCCATCTCTGAATCTGCGGTTTTCGTCTTTTTGTTATAAAATCGTAATTTTTGACGTTTTTTAACATTTTTTTTAGAATATTAATTAGCTGGAGTTGAGAAATCTGAAACATGTTTCGGTTTTTTGATAGCTCAAAAACGGCTCCGCGCCTATCTTCTATTTCAACTTTTAATTGTGGCTTTATCTATGAGCATCTTCTCTTTTTGTACAGTATAAAACAAAAACAAAAAAGTTTGAGAATTTTATAATATTTTTTCGCGCACTTTCAGAATTTTACAAAATAAAAAACTTTTAAACACAAATTTTAGAGATTTTGATAATTCATAAACCTTCCCTGGAGTTAGGAAAAGATAGGTCTAGATAAAGTTATGTTTAGATAAAGACAGGTTTAGATAAAGAAAGGTTCATAAAAGATAGGTTTTAGATAAAGAAAGGTTTAGATGAAGAAAGATAGGTTTTTATAAAGAAAGGTTTATATAAAGATAAAATTAGTTGCAGATAAGGTTTAGATGGAGAAAAGTTTACTTAAAGATAGGTTTAGATAAAGCAAAGTTTAGTTAAAGATAGGTTAGTTAAAGATAGTTTTAGATAAAGACAAGTTTAGTTAGAGATAGTTTTAGATAAAGACAAGTTTAGATAACAAGGCGTTTAGGGCGCTTCGCGCCCATCTTCTATTTCAACTTTTAATTGTGGCTTTATCTCTGAGCATCTTCTCTTTTTGTACAGTATAAAACAAAAACAAAAAAGTTTTCGAATTTCATAATATTTTTTCGCGCATTTTCAGAATTTTACAAAATAAAAAACTTTTAAACACAAATTTTAGAAATTTTGATAATTCATAAACCTTCCCTGGGGTCATGTGATGTCCCACACAAGATAAAGAAAGGTTTAGATAAAGATCGGTTTGGATAAAGAAAGATAAAGGGAGGTTTATATAAAGAAAGGTTTAGATAAAAATAAGCTTAGATAAAGATAGGTTTAGATAAAGACAGGTTTATTTAAAGAAAGGTTCAGATATAGAATCTACATAATGTTATGAACTTCTTACATCTGACCGGCCCTTCTCCTCCACCTAGCAACTATACTGTATAGAAAGCGTGTACAGGGATATTACTAAGCTAATCTTAACATTGCATATCAATGAGCTAATATTTATCAGGTTTAACACAACACTAGATGTTTACCTTAAATGGTAATCTTGATTTATTTACGTCAAACTCTACGTCACAAAAGATTGCCATTTTTGTCCTAAATTGTGGTTTTTAAAGTTTGTATCATTAAAAAAACCTGCCAGTTATGAGACGATGTATTAGTAGTGATTAAACTCTACTTTTGTAATTTTAAAAGTAAGTTTAAAAGTATATCCCCCTCCCCCTCCCCATTCTTCCTTCCCCTTAATGTTTCTCCAGGTGTAATATAAGCTGGCCGGCCTGACTAGCTGGATCAGTGATACAGGGTCAATCAAGGTACAACAAGTACAGGTACATATATCTAACATGTACTGAGCTACATATTTGTACAGTGTTTGATGTTTAGCGTATTTAGTTTGATCTGACAAGTTCTTAAATTCAAGGTTTAATAAGTTTACAAGCAGGAAGCAAATCAACGCTTTGATGTGAACTAACTTGATACAGAGTGTCCAAAAGAATATAATCGGAGAAGAATGAAATTTCAAAAAACGTTGAATTAAAAGAATAAATAAAGCCCAAAATCTTTTTTTTCTGAACATTTTAATTCATTGCAAAGAAAATTCGACAATTTTTGGTAAACCATGGATTTGAATTAGGATTAAGCAGATAAATCTTTAATTGAAATACTATCTGTGTACCCAGACATATTGGAAAACTTTTGCTTCCCTAATAGAAGGATTTCAAGAATTTTAAAGGGACTGTAAGCGTAATTTCAAGTGACCCTCCATGCAAAAAATGGCAATGCCCGGTCGAAAGATGCGAAAGATACTGCCATTTTTTTATCTCATTAAGTGTTTAATTCTGAAAATTTCTCCATTGGTTCCTATAAGTAAGAAATGTGCAAGTCACTTTTGCATAGAAATCACAAATGAAAATGAGCAGTTTAAAAACACCAAAAGACACAGCTTTCATGGGTATATACTGTTGTAAATCGGGCATGTGTCATCTTAGCATAGAGGGTCACTGGAAAAAACTCGTACAGACTCTTTAAGTCTAATTTCTGGTGTCAGTTTTTGTATGGAAAGTTGTTTCATGAAATAAAAACGTTTGATTTTTGATAACTTTTAAGTTAAAGGATCACGCTTGAATGAATGAGATATCTCTAGTTTAAAATTGATTATTATTCATTATGATATCTCTATAAAAGTGACTTGCGGATCTATGCTGAAAAATCAATGAGAGGAATTGAGAGAATCTAAGAGTAGTATTGGGCATCGGATATTTCATTCTTTACAAAGAGGTCCACTTGAAATTAAAACAACAGTCCCTTTAAATAAAGATTTGATTCAAACAAGTCTTACTGTTAAAATTTAATAAAAGTGTTTATAATCTATCATGAAACTGGTGAACATTAATACAGTTTATAGTAAGTGTAAATATGTGACAAAAAATAATCAATAAGATGGCTTGAAAACGTTGAATATTTTGAAAGCGGACTTTTTTAATTTAAAATCCAAAAAAATCTATTGTTACAATTCAAACAATTGATCTTAGAAAAATATTTTAATTGGATTTAAATGATTGAATTGAAAGAGCTCAATAATTAATTTAAATTTTTTACTGCTTTGAACATTTTCTTTTTATTTTATTAACTTATTCAACCTTTCTTCAAGGAATCTTAATAATTAGTTCCAGGGTTCATGTTTTCTTCAAGGTTTCCTGATATATAGTTCCATGGTTCTTGTTTCCTTAAAGTTTTTCTGATATATAGTTCCATGGTTCTTGTTTCCTTCAAGTTTGCCTGATATATAGTTCCATGGTTCCTGTTTCCTTCAAGTTTTCCTGATAAATAGTTCGATGGTTCCTGTTTCCTTCAAAGAATATTGGTTCCATGGTTCTTGTTTCCTTCAAGTTTTCCTGATATATAGTTTCATGGTTCTTGTTTCCTTCAAAGAATATTGGTTCCATGGTTCCTGTTTCCTTCAAGTTTTCCTGATATATAGTTCCATGGTTCTTGTTTCCTTCAAGATGTCCTGAAAAATAGTTCCATGATTCCTGTTTCCTTTACGGAATCCTGATAAATAGTTCCATGGTTCCTGTTTCCTTCAAGAAATCCTGATGAATAGTTTCAGGGTTCCTGTTTTCTTCAAGGTTTCCTGATATATAGTTCCATGGTTCCTGTTTCCTTCAAGTTTTCCTGATACATAGTTCCATGGTTCCTGTTTCCTTCAAGGTTTCCTGATATATAGTTCCATGGTTCCTGTTTCCTTCAAGTTTTCCTGATAAATAGTTCCATGGTTCCTGTTTCCTTCAAAGAATATTGATAAATAGTTCCATGGCTCTTGTTTCCTTCAAGTTTTCCTGATAAATAGTTCCATGGTTCCTGTTTCCTTCAAAGAATCTTGATAAATAGTTCCATAGTTCCTGTTTCCTTCAAGTTTTCCTGATAAATAGTTCCATGGTTCCTGTTTCCTTCAAAGAATATTGATAAATAGTTCCATGGTTCTTGTTTCCTTCAAGTTTTCTTGATAAATAGTCCCATGGTTCCTGTTTCCTTCAAAGAATCTAAATAAATAGTTCCATAGTTCCTGTTTCTTTCAAAGAATCTTGATTTTTAGATCCATGGTTCATGTTTCCTTCAAGGAATCCTGTTTTTTAGTTCCGCTTAATGTTTTTCCAAGGTTTATTAATTTGAAGATTTGAAGTTTAAAGTTTGTTACAATAGTATTATTTATATTATTTATATTATTATTTATTATATATTTCGTTTTCTTTTTTTGACATACATTAATAGAATAAGATTGAGAAGACAAAATAAAAGTTTAATTTATCTGTCAGCAAATAAATTATCTACAGATTATAAATATTCTATAAATAATCTATTTGACTTCTGAGTTAAGATTGAGAGATCTACTGGAACGGCCAAATACTGCGAAATCAAAGAAGTTTGAATTAGCATTGTAAAAACTAATTTTAAGAGTCAAAATTACGTTTTCAAGAGTTTTATTATGTTAACGGTAAAAGGTTCTTTATTGCAAAAAAAGAACCGATTTCTATTTTAATTTGTGATCCATAAAAATATCAATGTTCCTAAAGATATTGATTGTTACCATGGTGACACAGATTTCCTGGTATATTGACAAATAATTATTACTGCCAATACAAACTTTTCAATATTTTTGAGATGTTGTTTAATTAAACTAAAACATGATGCATGACAACCCCCCCCCCCCCTGCGATGAGGATGAATATACGGAGTAAAATTTTCCTGCAGTTTAATTTAGTCCGCCCTACAGACAACCTCAGATTTCAAATGTCTCCGATGAATTTTTTCAAGCGAAGAAAAAGTAAAAGGTTTCATTGATTTTAACTATCTTATGTAATATTTTTTAATGAAAAAGTAGAAATATATTTTTTATTATGAATGATATTGATTTCATGCACATCTTGATAAATATAAAAAATCTAAATTAAATCTAAAAAGGCTTGAACCTTCTCGATAAAGAGAACCTTTTTGTACAAAAACTTTATAACACTGCGAACCAAAATATCAGTGTTATAAATAGTTTAATATCATATTAAAGTTTAATTCATTTCAAAATAAAATATAATTGAGTAAAAGAATTATTTCAGCGAATTAAACTGCAAAAAGAAGAAGATATTATAACTATTCACCAACTCTCATGTTGTGTGAGACACTCTGTAGTTGCTCCATGTACAGGGTGTCCCACATCATATTAGACCGAGAACGGGTCTAAATTACGATTTTCGGGACTAATTAGAAAATTTCATTAGAATGAATCGTTTTGAAAAATAACATAAGACTTATATAAGAATTTTCTTGCGGAAAATGATGAGTTTTTAGAGTATTGAGGGTTTATTTTGGTGTTAAAGATTGGAGATAATCTAATATAATATGGGACGCTCTGTAGTTAAGTTCGGTGGGTTATTACATACACAGAGATGAACATTTATTAATTGAGATAAGTTGTTAAACTATGTACGGCGTAATCTACTTCTGCTGACCTTCCCTTTACAACTTATATAGTATATAATAACTGGGACTATTCAACATACATAAATTCCTAATTCCAATATAACATTCTGATTCCTGTTATATAAACAAGCAGAGGTAACTGACTTTTGTGACATAAACCGATGTACCCGAATTGTGGTAGAACTGTAGATTGCAATTTAAAGGGACTGAAAACATAATTTAAAGGGACTGTAAACATAATTTAAAGGGACTGTAAATATACTTTAAAGGAACTGTAAACTTAATTTAAAGGGACTGTAAACATAATTTTAAGGGACTGTAAACATAATTTAAAGGAACTGTAAACATAATTTAAAGGAACTGTAAACATAATTTTAAGGGACTGTAATTATAATTTAAAGGGACTGTAAACATAATTTTAAGGGACTGTAAACATAATTTTAAGGGACTGTAATTATAATTTAAAGGGACTGTAAACATAATTTAAAGTGAGCTTTTATTCATCGAAAGGAATAGGTAATTCATAACAGTAGTAAGCGTTTCTCTGATCAAAAATAGTATTTTCTCTGCAAAGACAACTTGCGGATTTATGAACAATGAAGGAAGTTGTCAGAATTCAACATGTTTCCAGACGAAGAAAACGACCTCATTGTTATTCATATAAAGGTTTTAAGGACACCATTGTAAATCGGACACACCCCTCTACAAATACAGGGTTATTTCAAACTATGTTTACAGTCCCTATATCCTTCCGGTGAAATATTAATTTATAGTTAAAAGATCTAAGTCAAAAGTTTTGATGAGTTATTTGATATTTCATTCTTGCACTCAAATAAATGATCAAGTATCATATTCCTTAGAAACTTTTACTCTAATGCAACCAACTGACAGTAATTATTCTCTATGTAACTTTGGTTGTCTTCCTATTGTTTAGTTTTTGTGACACCTATCTAACATCTTTTTACATATTTCTACAAAGACGATATTTATCAAAGCAGAATCTTCGAGTAAATATCTAGTGGGATAACATGTCGTCTTCCTTGCTACACTGTCCACTTGTGACGTCAGTATCTGTTGCCAACTATTGTTCTTGATAATCTATTGGCTTGCACTGTTATATTATTGTTTTCTAGTGAGAGACAGAGGATGGGTAAAGTTGCAGTTGGAATTGATCTTGGTACAACTTACTCCTGTGTGGGAGTTTTCCAACATGGAAAAGTTGAAATCATTGCCAATGACCAGGTAACATAAAAGAAGTAACTGTTACATTAGAAATCATCGCCAATTACCAGTTAGCATGAAAACAAGCACTGTTATAACAGAAATCATTGCCAATGACCAGGTAACATGAAAAAAATAACTGTTACATTAGAAATCATCGCCAAATACCAGTTAGCATGAAAACAGGCACTGTAATATCAGAAATCATTGCCAATGACCAGGTAACATGAAAAACGTAACAGTAACATAAAAACAGGCACTGTTATATCAGAAAGAATTGACAATAACCAGGTAACATGAACAAAGTAACTTTTACATTATAAATCATTGTCATTGCTAAAGTGAAAAAGTACAATCTAAAAATGTTTGCTTGTTTTTTTGTAAATTCTTAATTATCTTGTAACAGAACATTACAATTGTATGTAATGTATTGCCCCCCCCCCCTCACCTGGCGCCCCTGAACCGAAACAAGTCCTAAAATGATAAAGAGCAGGTATCATTATTATTAGATTATGTAAAACCTAATGATGCCTTTAATATTACTCTATACAGTATACACACTGTATACAATTTACTTAATCTAATTTAATTATTCAGCAAACCAGATCTACACTGTGTACAGTGTACGGTGTAAAGTTTACGGTGTACAGTGTACGGTGTACAGTGAACGGTGTACAGTTTACGGTGTACAGTGAACGGTGTACAGTTAAAAGTGTACAGTTTACAGTGTACAGTTTACAGTGTAAATTTTACAGTGTACAGTTTACGGTGTACACTTTACGGTGTACAGTTTACAGTGTAAAGTTTACAGTGTACAGTTTACAGTGTACAGTTTACAGTGTACAGTTTACAGTGTACAGTTTACAGTGTACAGTTTACAGTGTACAGTTTACAGAGTACAGTTTACAGTGTACAGTTTACAGTGTACAGTATACAGTACAGAGTCTGTACAGTGTCACTGTATAATGCACCTTACCAGGACTTACTTATAAGTATAATTTACATATACGAATTAGTTAAAAATATTTTAAAGCAAAGGATTCTGTAAATTAACCTATTCAGTCTTATTTTTTTAAGCTTTGGATGACAATAAATGTAGAAAATTTATAAAAGTTTTGATCAAAAATTTATTTGATAATATTTATTTTTATTGAAATTATATTTGTTCAGGGTAACCGAACCACTCCCAGCTATGTTGCTTTTACTGATTCTGAAAGACTTATCGGGGATGCTGCTAAGAACCAAGTTGCCATGAACCCAACAAATACTATCTTTGGTAAACAGAATAAATACAGGGACATTAAGCAAACATAAGGATTTGGTATACTCTGCTGCAAACAAATCCATTAGCTTGCTTCAAATAACTATTAGAAAATGTTTTGGCAAATTTTTACCCTTGTTTTGCGTAACCAGTTGAAGAGCTTTTGCGTAATTTTTCGCCTTTTTATACGCAAGAAGTTGTGCGCGTTATTGAAAACATTTTTGAGGCCATTTAGATTATTCAGCGCCAATTGCGCTAAACTCATAAAATTTCACCAAAAATGCAATCTATAGTTTTGTGAGCAATTTAAATACAAAAAAATATCTCAATTTTACGTAAAATGAACTTTGTTAAGTGCTGTTTTTTTTACGCAAAAATGTTCGCAACGAAAGCTAAACTTTGGGCTTCCTTCCCCAAAAATTGCAAATGTTCTGCGAATGGAAACCCTGGGTTTAATGCGGGTACTGGTATGTTTGAATTGAAAAGTTTAAAAACTTAATTCAATAAATAAAAAAAAACTCTGCGACCATTCCAAAATCTGAAAACGACCACTTTTCCAAGGATCGGGAAGGGAACCTTTGAAAAAATTAACTAATGTAAACTAATTGAATTAAATAATATCTATCTTGAAATAAACTGCATGAATCTAATACTAGATGCCAAGAGGTTGATTGAATTAAATAATATCTATCTTGAAATAAACTGCATGAATTGAATACTAGATGCCAAGAGGTTGATTGAATTAAATGATATCTATCTTGAAATAAACTGCATGAATTGAATACTAGATGCCAAGAGGTTGATTGAATTAAATAATATCTATCTTGAAATAAACTGCATGAATTGAATACTAGATGCCAAGAGGTTGATTGAATTAAATGATATCTATCTTGAAATAAACTGCATGATTTGAATACTAGATGCGAAGAGGTTGATTGGAAGAAAGTTTGATGATGCCAATGTTCAAAGTGACATGAAACACTGGCCTTTCAAGGTAAATATCTTGTATACCAAATATCTGAAAGGGATTGTATACCAAATATCTGAAAGGGTGTTTCGCTACTTAGCGATTTCCCTAAAGACCTAATATATGTACCGTGTGGTATTTCTCAGGATTGGATCGTAAGACTC